TTTTAACGAACTCCGGGCAAGTTGAAGTCGAACAGAGCTTTCGATTCATCAGCTGCGCAAGAGCAATCGAATTAAAAACCGAACGAACGACGAGTGAGTAGCTTGGCGCAATTAAAAGACTAAACAAAGTGCTCAAAGAGCCGAGCACGCGTTGTCACAGATAGACCCTCTCGACCCTCTGTTTCATTGGCTGTGACGAGCGCGACGATGAACGGGGAAAGCAGAACGAGGAGAAAACGATGAACGATCCGCGAACTGACCAGCGGTAAAAATAATTCTCGCGCGTTAATCGAGAAAGCTGCACGCCAACTTGTCGAACGATGACAGGTTAGTTTTGTTCAACTGCTCCTGGACGTTACGACACATTAAAGCAGAAGTTTGGTTTTACGAGCGGCAATTCGAGGCGAGCGTAATCGTTCCTCCGTCGAACTAATAACATAACCGTGGCACGTAAATTGCGCGGCCTATCGATAACAGGGTCGATACGATCCGACTGTAAATACAGCGGCGCGCGACGCACGGAAGCTGGACGCATCGCCCCGGCCAGCTTTTAATATTTGTTTTATTCCGTCCGATTGTCTATTGTTTCTTCCAGCACGGAAATTTCGTCGAAATGGAAAATGCGAACGCGAGCCGCGGCCTCCCGCAAACTTGTCAGTCGAAATGAAATGAACGGCGGGATGGACGTTACTGTTACGAGCGGATTCGAGAAACCCCGAACATTAATAATTATAATATCCGGGAGCGCACAATGCGTTTCGATTGAGAGTTCCCGTTTACAGCGTCGTTCCCAACTCGAAGACTGTATCGGTATCGCGAGATCTCGGCCAACGAACCCCTAATACCATTGTGATGTTGCAGTTTCGCCGATATTGTAGTTTGGAGATCTGCGAGCCGTCTCCGAGATTCTGATCAGGGTTTGGTTAATATACAGGGTATCCGATTCTAATCTACAAGTGAAAATATAATAAATGTTTCCCGCAGAATTTAAATGGTTTCGTGGAAGCTACGAGATGACATAATTCATACAGCGTGTTTTTTCGAGTGTAAGCGCGACTGTTAAGATGCCGAATGCAATTCTAAATGGAGAAAAATCATCGCGAGTCCTTCAAGTTCAAAAAATTTGAAAAAATATTTTAACCGACTCCGGGCAAGTTGACGATAATATGATAATTAGGAGAATATTCGAACTGTGTTTGTTATCCGTTGGAAACGGATGCTGTCGGAGTTATTAATGTCAGGGAATATCTTCGGTTAGGTGAGCCATTTTGTTTCGCTGACATAATTAATCGGTTTTGTGTATTCAGCATCGATATTTAATTCGCTCTAGATCCGGCGATGAATGCGGATATTTACAATACCGAGCCGATAGAAATACTCGACGGCGTTGCTCATTATTTCGCTAAATCTGCTAAAATGCTGTGTGCGCGCACAGAACAGTGAACTTTCGGTCGGTCGGCGGTCCGCACTTCGTTGCCGGTATTACCATCGCGAAAGATGGAAATAGCGTGGGTAACGGTCGTGGTTTCATTCGAATGATCGGTTACACAAAGCGAAAATAGTTCTCAAGGTAAGGAGATTATCCTGTGGGATATACGATTCGGAGCGATCAGCGCGAAATTACCAACGCATTGAAAGCAGTATCATGCCAACCTTGTTAATCGCAGGAGCTTACTGTTTCCCGCGTGTTCATTATACTTCGTTCCATCGAACGTTGTAGAATTATCATCGATCAGGCAATAGCATTACGATTCCATTATCTGCAACAGTGCTGATCTCGAACTGACTAACCTCTGCTCGTTACCAGCAGCATTTCCATAACGACAATTTGCAGATTATAATGCATTTCGCTGTTGCAACTTTGTTTACCGATCTGTTTGTTTATTAACGAATCAGTTACGCTTAATTGACACCGACCGGGTTTCCGAATTAATTAAGATAATTCCCAGAAATTCCCAAAAATTATGATAATTATCATCGAAGAACATCGCACAAATCTACTTGAATATAGTTTTACGAATACATACAGATTTACGATGATTGCACGTGCAATTACCATACATTGTTAAATGTACAGTTTTTGAAAGATCGTAACTAGATTATGAATGTTCATGCAAAACAAAAATTGTCTGCGCTGCTCACAAGATTCAAGAGCTACGTATATTATTCGTTTTTTTTTTTTAAATAATTTTAACGAGCTGAAAACGGTGCAACAATATTTTCAATTTCTTTAAACGATTTTACTGTTTCGCATTTGGTCAACTCTTATTTCTTTAAATAAGCGCATAAAATGAAAAATATTTCACGATAATCATTTTCATTAAAAGGAATGGCAGATGTAATAATAAAACTCGTCGTACAGAAAATGTTAATATAAAACTGACTAGGCTTGTTTTTGAGAAGGTACGAAAGTACCGATTTGAAGAATGATTCTCACGTGATAAACAGGATCAATAATTAAAGACACTTTCCTTCAACCTTATTTTGTTAGACCGATGCTATCCGAGGTGTACCCGGCAATAGAATTTGTTTACTGCCAAGTTCGTGAACCGAGGGGTGACAGAAAACTGAGCCCGGGGATTTTGATCGGAGGGGAATTCAATCAGTCTGACAGTTTTATCGATCTCCCGTTGACACCGCGGACCAAGACCCGCAGCCCTGTTCCGATCCGAGGCAAGAGCTCTTGCGAAGGTGTTAAACCTGACGAAACAGGTCGACACCGCAACACCGTCAACTTCTGATGGAGGGATTTTATTGAATGAGTTAGTGAGCTTTTTCCAGTTGACCCGAAAGGCGGGATCAGCCTTTTTAAGTGTCTTAACGCGGTACTTTCGGGCCCCTTTCCTGTAGCCACGTGGATTTGTAAATCTTCGGCGGGCACGATCCTATAAAATGTTTAAAAGACACGTGGCAGCTCTGTCTTACACTTTCATCTGATTTCACGTAGACTTTCTTCGGTGGAGTTATAGAAAATTTATTCACACTCGTGACAAAAGTGGTGGCTTCCCATGAACATTTTCATTGCCGACAAGCTTCCACTTCGTCGGTGTGAGAGATGCAAAGGTATTAATTCATAATTGAATTCGTTGTACCCTCTAAATTGTGAAACCTGTTTTATCTGGTTTAAGTGACTTTAATGGCAGCAGCAGTGGTATATATTGTTCTATACATGTCGTATATATTTGTATTAACAAGAATAGTTGTAGTAATATTTTCGGATAACCAGCTAAACCGATTTATTTCTCGTAATTATATTTAGATAAGATAGAGCTAATGAATTGTTTGGAGTGTTGTAAACAGCCCCACAAACATAAATGGGTTCACGAGCTGAACAATAGCGTATTAAAACTTGGATAGTTTACAGGAACTACATTAAAGCTTGGTTCGTTGATGATCATGAGGGCCGCTGCGGTACGCGAATCGTAAGAATGGTTTGTTGTAACTATTTTCTAAAGCGAGTTGATACATTCAGTTATTTGAAGAAGTTAGATCTGTATTTCAGTTCGACGTGTGAGCAATGGATGCAGCATTGTAATTAGTAAGCGAATTTATGAAAGATAATTTTCGTCTTAGCGGACGTTATTCAGCTGCAGTCGTAAATAAATTAAAGATTCGTTAAAAGCGTTTGTTGCATGTTGCAATTAATGTATTAAAATCTGAAATTAATTGTTACTGGAACATTAACAGGCAACATTTCATCGACGTCGAAATGTTCGTCAAACGAACCTCCATTTGTAATTACGTTTCGCGTTGTCACTCCAATTTTCTTCGGTATTTTCCTTTGATCCCAATTTTCATGGAAAACGGAGCAGACGTAAAACTCTCCGAATAAAAAGTTCCGATACTTTCCTGCATAAAAGCTTTATTTCGGCAGCAAGAAATGCAACCGAGGAAATCATTAACTAGCAGGCTTCTTGCTAATGATCTAAATTGATGTGTAATTAGGGGATAATTAATTCAGGACGATATTTAAATTACCCAGTCAGAGTTCAGAATAACTTTCGCATAGATTTCGAGGCAGGTCGTCTAAGTCCGGGTATTCTGCGGGGGTAGGATTTATCTCTCAATGGCCTTGACCGGCCGGCTAATTTCGCGCTAACTTTAGCACATTAACGCCTGAACATATGAAGAAGATAAATGTAGCGGGCTTGTTGCAAAAGATAAAATCGGTTCCGGTGGTTTATATGGTTTACATCGATGGGACTATCATTTTTCATAACGTTGAAACCTGTGCAGGAGTTTTTTGGAAGTTGTACAGTATACACGTCTACTATACAGATTACACGTACATATATTTCTCGAAAAAGTATAACTATTAATTTATAGTTCAACATTTTAACACTTTATCCGCCGGAAGCGGATAAAGGAATAGAATTTTTAGTAATTCTGCTCTAAGTTAAGAGGAAACTTAAAAATACTTATTATGAAACACCGCTCCATTGTGACTCCTGCTTGAAACAGCAGCACGAACAATATAATAAAAACTAAACAGAGCGTATGAAACTGGATGCAAAAATTAATTAAATCCACTCACGCAAATACACCGTTGTTTTATCTTTCTACTTATCGAATAAGACGTCTTAAATGTTTCCATTCGTTTATTCCGATTATTCTCGAATAAAAAAATTTAATATGCCTTATTCGATAAGTATAAAGTTAATTATACTTGTACTAGAGGCACAAGAAACGGCCACCCCGCGGTAACCGGCTCCACCACCCTACGCGTTCTCCCCTCGTTGCCATCACGTTTTAATCTGTCAAACGCTTCGCGAAAGGCAAAGCAATTGCAGCTTGTATAGACACCTAGCTCAGATAACAAAAATCATTTTTTATTGCGAAGAATTTTACGAAACTGTACTTTGGCCGACTGGAACGACGAGATACCAGACTGTGCGATCGCACGAGATCTCGTGGCTTGTGTCTCGTGCTCGTGCAGGCAATGCCGAAGAGCGCAGGCGTCCGGTATCCGGCGTCCGGTGGCGGCAAGCGGGTTCCGATTTTCTCTAGTGCCGCGTCAACTGCCGCTGGAGAGTCGTGCGCGTCGCACCCTGTCGTCTCCGACGACCCCTGTTCTTCGCGAGACACCGTTCGCGAGATCACGTTTCCCTTGTTCGATCCCGTGCCGATGCGAAATCCTCCTGGAGGATTGTAGTGAGTCGACGGGCCGGATGTCGCCGGCCCCTGCGGAGCGATGCTAGCGGAGTCCGCGCGACGAACGCGTGCCGAGCGAGTCCCGCACGCCGGAACCGTGTAGCAGAGCAACAACGTGCGACCGAAACGGAAAGAAAATCAGTGCAGGGTGCGTCTCGTTCCACCTTTGGTTCCGTTCCGATGGTCCCCGTGGGGCTCTGTTCGGTGTGATTTGAGTGTGTGCAAAGAGCCCTGTGATAGTAGCCCACCCGTGTTAGCAGCCGGGCCCTCGTACCAGCTCGCGATCCCGGAAAAGGGCCAATTCGTGGAAGTGCGTCGACTATGAATTGGTGCAAAGTGCAGGCTGTCGCGACCGTAGAGGAGACGTCGTCCGGCTGGAAAAGTATGCTTTTATCGGACGTCGGAGCATGAGGGACGCCGCATCCTCGACGTAATGGTGAGTGCTGCTGCTGAGCCCCCTTTGATGGGTTCGGGGATCCGAGATCGGGCCCGATCGCCGATGGCCCGACACGCTCCTGCCACCGCAGAGACGAATATCCTCGAAGATCCCGGTGGTCGGCGGTTGCACCCGAGGAACGTCTATCGGCGATGCAGCGGATCGAAGACCGACGGGATTTTCAGAGGAACTGCGCGCGGTTTCGTTCGCCTGCCGATCTCGCCCGCGCGGAAGCTCCCGGAGGCTCGCGAATCTGCCTGGCAAGTAGAGTCACGTGCGCGGTGATGAATCGGGAAGCATCGCGACGGATGGTCTATTTTTTCCCCGTCACCGGCAGAGACGAGGCTCGAAATACGCGGTTCCCGCGATGAGCATCGCGTGATACGTTCCCATGTTCTGCCATTCCTCGCGCGGTTTGCACGCGCAACATTCGAGCACAACGTAATGATGGTTCTTGCTCTCTCTTACTTCTCCGACGAGGCAAAACGCGCGTTTTCCTATAATTATCCGGCCGTTTCCGAGAGGAAAGGATTAATCACCTGATATTGGCGGTGTTCCCGAATCGAAGCGACGAACGAAACACGTTCGGACTAACTTCCTTTTCCGAGCGGATGCGTGGGAAAGAAGTGTGTAATATCTTTGGAAAGAATGGAGCGACGCAGCGAGCTTTGTATTTCATTAGCGCGTTTGACGCGCTCGACACCGGGTATGTGACGGCGCGGTGTTCGAAGCTGGGAATTAGAAGCCGGTAGTTAATTATATTTGTCAGGTTTAATGAATTACATTGAAAATTAGATCGCCCGCACCGGTCGCCGCGGCGCGCCGCGTGAAATTTTAACAAACGTGTCGCGACCAGGCCCGTTTTCTTTTTTCGCGGTACGCGGCGGTAACGAAACTGGCAGTGATATGCAAATTACCTATTATAGTAGATACCAGCATAAATCATAATTTATCTTCATTACTATTTGGAATTCCCGCGCGCGAAGATAAATCAATTTGATGCCGCGGAATAAGGTAATTAACTATGGAAGAAATGCTCGTGCTGCACAAATGTAATTTCAACGATGCCACGGATACGATGCCAACTTATATCTAAGTAACGAATGTATTCGGCCCAGTCACTTGCAAAATAGAGAAAGTTCTACGTTCTCCGACATTGTTGGAAGCGTATCTTTTTCGCTTGTTCTTGCGACTTATAAATTGACTTATCGACGCTAAAACTACCGAGCGAGCAATGTGTTTTATCACGATGACGGGATCGGATTTAAAGAAATGTCGTACGATTTATACTATAATGTATGCTTTGGTAAAGAATTTCATCGATCAAAAACGTGTCTATAATTTCAGTAACATTTCGACTAGTGTGAAGCAGGCAATTAAAATTTATTAGACTGCGGATCTTTATGCGAAATAAACATAATCTCCATCAGTTCCAGCAAACAAGAATCAAGTGAACATTTCTTTCTTTAACACTTGCAAGGTGGCGGCTGCGTCAATATTAACCCAGATAATTTAAATCGTTCATTTAATTACTCATTTTTCCGGCAATTAAACAAAATAAATTGCTCCAACATTAGGAACAACGAAAAGGCTAACAAGTGTACAAGAAATTTCTTCAAAAATATGTTTTGAAAAACTGTTGAATAAAACTTTTCATAAACATTTGTGAAAATGATCCGCCGTCGTTGAAAATAGTGCATGGACGTCTCCGAATTCTTTGAATATTTTCAGTGTTTTAAACGTCACTTGCCCATTTTTATCCACGTCAAATCCGCAGAGCGAAAACGAAGGACGAAGAATTCATTTTCAATTAAGCCTTCAGAAAGAACACATTCGACGTTAACTACTTGTCCTGATCTGCACGCGAATAGGAACGCGAGCTTGAAATATTAATAATTAGAAGAATTAATGTCCCCTACTAAAATTTAACGACTCGTGTGATTATAGAGTGGCCGAACCGCGTGGGCACGATAAAAATAGGATACGAGCTTGTTTTTTTCTTCTGTTATTTTATTTGCGATAGCGGACACGAGCACGTTTTAAAGCTTTCGTGGATGCGTCGATTTTTTCGTCGAAAGCTTTAGCTTGCTATTTGCACGAAATGGTGGAAGAGAAAGGGAGGGCAATCAGCCATTAATGGCACGTGTCGTGGCGCGCAATTTACATACCTGAGTATGTGTCTACTCTAGGTCAGACACACCGGCGCTTACGATTTTAGACTCTGCATTATTCCACTTTGCGCCGGGAATGTCGGCGCCGGGCCGGATGAATAATCTCAATCGATCATATTAACTGGTCAATCGGTTTATCTCCTGACTATTCATTGGAAGAATGATTCGAAACCCCGGCACCAAGAGCTTCGGTAATTAGCTCATGTACCGCATACATTTCCATTAGCGAATATACCAATTTTATGCTAAATACGTGTTGCTGATGGTCGTCAAAATGTTATTCAATTACTGTGCCCGAGCATTCTGTTTTCACGCGTAAAAACAGTCCCTTTATACAGAGCGGAGTGCGTAAATGCGACCGTCTAAACCCCCTTTGTTGTTTACATATTTACGAGACAGATCTTTCCGACGGATAACGCTGGAGGCTTCAAACAGACGCGCAAAGTGATCCAATTACATTTTGTTCTAGCGCTCTGATCATCATCGATTTGCGCCAGTTTCTCCTTCATTTCTCTGCACGTACGTCACGCGCCGAAGTAAATTCCGAAGGAACTAATTATTGCACAATTCAGAGTTACTTGTTGATGGTTAATTCGTGGGTTATTCGAAATTGTTCAGAAAACATTTACATTCATGGAATTACAGTGACAGGCTAACTTGTCACACGCGATCGTATGTGTTAGGATCGTTCGATAAAATTAATGTAAATTTGGGAAATGCAAGGAAACCATCGCATTAAAAGATATTTATTGCGCGATTCTTCTGTCATTTTTTTTAGTCGATGTAAGAAACCCTTCCACTTTTCAGATATTTAGAAAGCAACAGATGATCATCAAAATTTGCACAAAGACTCTCAGTTTGGTCATTATAAAACATGTTCAACAAAGGGAGAGGATGATTGTACATAAAAAATCAAATTGAATCTAAGAAACACAATTTCTTCAATTCAGGCTTCGTTGTCGTAAAAATCGATTTTGAATATTCATCATTTTCAACAATTTTTGCATTTTTTCATTTAAATCCACTCCAAATCCATAAACAGAAATAAGTAACATTCCACATCGCGTTGATACTAATTATATCGGTACTATTTTTATAAGTGACATGTGATTTTTATCGAGATCCATCCATTTAAACCATAGTTACTTGTACGCTGAATATTCAAAGTCGTTTCTCTCGACAGCGAAGCCTCAAGTGAAAAAATTCTATTTCTCACTTTCGATCGGTCTTTTCACGTAGAATCATCCCCTTCTCGGTTCTACCACCGTTGCTTGGACACCCTGTATAAATGGCCATTAAGAGCCGATTAAGTAAACGCGTATAAAAAGTTGGACAAGTATTAATTCGATCCGGAAGAAATATGGAGAATTCCGTGCGGCGTAGTCGCTTAATTCAATCGAACGCGTAATAGTCAACGCCGACAATAATTTATCCGCGGCAACAAGATGGCTCCGTAGGACGATACATCGCACGTCCATAATAAAGTTCGTCGCGGCGAACAGGCATCCGCAATTAAAGGCGATCAGATCAATGATTAACTGCTGCCCGGTCGAGAACTAATTAGAAAGTTCATCGATTTTTCACCGTTCTCCCGATCACGGTGCCCCGGCCCGAAGATTTATCACGGCCCCGCTCTGCACGCCGCGCCGGTAGGCGTGAAAAATGATTTTCGAAAAGTTCCAATAACGCCGCGGACCGGCAACAGTTGCGATCTCGTCGCGTCTTTTGATTCAGAAGCTCCGTTCCACCGCGACAAGGGCCGTCCGCTCCCGTAATGGCGAATCGCGGATATTTTTCACGGGCAATGATTTATTCGACGACGATGGGGCCGATCGTGTGCAACGGCCGCGCAAACGGGATCGCGCGCGCGTACCATACACGGCCGCGTAAACGCGTGGCTGCGTTACCCCGAGAGCACATGACGCGAGTTACCGTTCACTTTGGCACCCGTGTCAAAACTGCATTTACAAGCAACGAACTCATTCCGCGGAGTTTTTCAATTGTTCCAGCCCGGCCGCGGAATTGATTTCCCGTGTCACTGTTATTTTTCAACTCAACGTTTAATTAACTCCTCCAGCCTTCGCAATTCACCATGTTCGGCCGAATTATAGGACGCCGTGAAAGTTGCCGGAATTACGGTTTAATATCGGTTTTACGTTGAACAGCTTTCTACGCGAAACCGGCGTCACTTATTTGGAACCGATGTATTCGGATATTAAAGCACCAGGAAATGAAATTCTCGCGATAGTCATTCACGTCGACGAAATTGCACGGCTTGGATAATACGGGTAGTAGAACCTCGATTATATATATATTCGGTCAACCAATTTCAATATTCTCTATTGTCCAAATGCGTCTCGCGCGTTTAATTCACTAAATCGAAGACAGCCGATGTGCAAAACGATTTTCTGTACAAATGAATGAAGACTAAGCGACTGTTTTTATTATGCGAATAATCGCGTCAGTTTATATAACCGGATAATCGAGGTTACACTGTATAATTAAACAGTACTATTAACCATTTGACGTACCCGTTTTGTACATAGTCACAATGTTCTGAAAGCTAGAACGAAGAACATTCTCTTACTGAAAATGAAACGAAGATGTTATTAATCTTGATATCCTTTTATCTCAGTGCACATGCCATAGTTGTATACAAATCCGCAATTTGAACGATGTTTCATATTTTTAGTGCTATTTAATGAAAACTAGTGTAAGGAACGTTCTCTCATTAAGAATAAAATAAGAATTGGCACTATTAATTTTCGCTAATATACGCATTTCCTTGCATCTTAGTGCACACGCAACAATTGTATAGAAATCCACGGG